GATTTGAATTTTAGTCAAATTTGACTGCCAACCATACCCCTATCCGACCTTGCTCCCGACCTACTCCTAACCATATGGTTGTGGGGAGTTCGGCAGTGTTCGGGAGGCCAGATTTGGCTATGTGTAACAGTGGCTATAGGGAGTCCCGGACAGAATCGGATGCAATTTGACTCTCCCCTTTTAGAGTTGGGCCCCATATTCTCATGGAATACTTTCATACCGACTCGTACTTTCATACCGATTTTTTAACGGGCCCCATGATATTCACGGTTATTAGTCAACTTGTAATGCCTCCCACGCTCTTGATATTTTGTGGCCGCCGTCCAAATGCGGTGTTGCATTAACACATATATCTCATCCGCACAAACCCCTTTTCTAACATACAGATGTACAGATATGCTGTCTTTCTATAACTTTTAATCGAGTAGGCGACCTCCGTATACTTATCGAAAACATATATGATGAAAACCTTTTGTACGGCGCAGACGTTTTATTGTGCTTTGCGTTATCTCTTCATGGCAGACTGTTGGCAAAAGGTCGTTGGAAGTCGAATATAGAGTAAGATCAGTATTCAGCTCGACACCTTGGACAAAGTATTGAGTCTTAGTAAAGCGTTGAACTTTATTTCAACACACAATTTACACAGAGATCAAATTTTCATCGCGACCACTGTCGCCTTCATCAGGATAATATAATGACCAATCACAACAATTCACAACAGAGCACTTCAGCCTTCAGCTAAAGTGGACTCCCTGGCACTTTTGATCAATATATTGCTCACATCACGTATCAGTAACGTCTCGTGTGAATAAGGTCACGTGTTTGTAACCGTAACTCTCGTGAGATCACGTTGTGAAGTGACTGGTCATTAATGATCCTGATGAAGGCGACAGTGGTCGCTGAAAATTTGATCTCTGTGTAAATTGTGTGTTGGAATCAAGTTCAACGTTTTACTATGATTGAACACAGATGGACTTTCATGATAGTATTCGAGTCTTGTTGAACTACTAAAATGTGTTTTTGGTTTTTGATCGATGTGTTTACAGCCGCGGTTTAAGTTTAGTACGGTTTATCCAATACCCTATGAGTAAGCGAGATGGCCTGCAGCTGGTGTGTGATTTGTCTTGTATCCAGATGTGACTATAGACTGAAGTAGTCCATACATCATGTTTAGAGAAGCTACCAGTACTATTCTACTGGACCGCGTCTTACATGTTTATTTTGATATTAGGCCACAGGAAGTAATTTTTATGGATGACATCAGCGCGCGCATTTATTTTCGCCTGATTTTTGGAAAAAGATCTGATAACAGTGACGCTACCACATCTCTGACTACCATTCCAGTTTTTCTGATAATTACTTGAAAGTACGTGACTGTATGAATCGTTAGTAAAGATCTGTCGTTGGCTATACCGAGATGTTATAACATTTCTTTACAGTGACGATTTTTGGTTTCTTTGAGTCCAACAGCGATATTATCCCTTAAGTACACATTCTATCTATTCATAGTGATATCATAGTGATATCTACATGAATACCCAGATACCAGTAGTTCCATAGCCTTTCTGGAGGCCATAGGGGCAGTGGGCACTGTGTCTAAGGCACTGTATTGGAAGATGGACCCCATTCCTTTTTCCTCCACCACCTTTTACCTCTCCAACCGAGTCAGGTACTCATTTTACACCTGGGTGAAGTGAGGAAAGTCGTGTACTGCCTTCCTAGAGACACAGTGTATAAGCAGGTAATGTCTGGTATCGAACCCGTAACCTCTCGATCTCGTGTCCGCTAGAGCAAGCAGACGCCACAATCCGTTGGTGTATCAAACTTTATCCCATCAGGGGAAGGGTGTTTGGGAAGTATGGGAGGTTATACTGGCGAGGCAAAGCCTACTTGTAGAAACAAGGCCACATATGTACAATACTGGCAGTTGACCCATGCCCAGCACACCGCTTGTTGCGTGACACCAATTGACTTCTACAAGCTTGACCTCTCACACAGGGGAATGGATCTGTTGACCCAAGAGACGTACTTCAAATGAGGCCATTTCATCTTCGAATCAGCTCGTTGAAGCAGTTTTCTTGCCAGAAAGAGCAATTTTTTTGCACATCACAGGTACTAATTGCCTTGCCAAAGCGGCGATGCGTTTCAAACACGCACACGCGTACGTGTGTGCAGCCTCCCGCGCAGACTTCTAGCGGGGGAGAGTTTGTTTCGACGAGCGGCTAGAGCGGCATTTTTTTTCGGGGGAACGCCCTTGTTCTGGGACTTGTATCTGCTGAGAGAGCTGTATTGCACGCGCTAGAGTTGGAAATCCCTCCCTCCAAACAAAAATAAACGCCACGCTAGCCTAAGGAGTCTGCGAACGACGCTAACACTAGTCGTACAAACCGTCGGTGAACGTGATAAAATATTCACACAGTTTTGGGAAGAAATGATGTTTATCAGACAGCTAGCACCATGATATGCACGACAAATTTGACAATCAATACATTTCATCGACCCCATGTTTACAACGTTATAACTGTCACCGTGGGGCCGTTAGAACTGTCACTACTGAACTGAAGATCCATTAAGATCAATAGTTTAATGTTCTTAAGAACGGCGCTGGGCTTTCAGATGCCTCTTCATTACTATTGATTACATGCATATCAAAACAAGAATTCCGAGATTTCATACCTCCATGAAATATGGGCTTGACATGTAAATGTAAATTTCCTCTTTAATTATGCAAATTACCTCCGCATTAACATGATATATGCATCGTGATGTATGTGAACTTTTGATTAACTTACAGATGTCCCAAGTATGACATTCCCATCATTCACCATTAAGAAATCATAGAATTTTTGCATAAATTATGCAAATAAGGTCATCATTTGCATAATTAGTATCTGTTGATGTTCTGCCTGCCATAGGTTACATACATTACATGTATGAAAGTAGTATAATGTAAAACACTGTAATTATAGAATTTCCTCATTAATTATGCAAATAAAGTCCTCATTTGCATAATTTGCATTTAATCATGTACATCTCTCTCTCAGCTACCTACACACCAAAAATTATGAAAATATGTTGTTCCTATCTTGACTTATTGGCTTTTAAACATTTCGCCAGAAAGTGCCCTGCAGTTCCAGAACAAGCTGCTAGGGGGACCAAACTCACACCACTTATTCCTGACAGGAAAAGCAATCTGTCACCAAAACATCAAGACCA